GTTGTATCATCTGCATATCGCAGATTGTTAGTCTCTTCCTGATGCCACGTTCTTCTTCACATAATCCAGCTTTTCAAATTATTTGTTCAGCATACAGATTGAATAAATATGGTGAAAGGATACAACCCTATCACACACCTTTCATGATATTAAACCACTCATTGTCCCTTTGTTGTTTGAAAGATTGCCTCTTGGTCTATGTACAGGGTGAAGTACACCCCAAAAATAATTAGCAGGCTTTTAAAAACTGTGTGTGAACCTCTGAAATTAGAACTGCTTCTGTGGTTTTGAAATCCCCAGTAGTGGTGACAGTTATGATATTTTATGTGTTTTGTTTCAGGGCGTTTGGTCCACTTTGGTGCCATGAAGACCTCACACCCAAAAACCAAAATTCAAAGAGTGCTGAGCAGCTCACCAACTTTCTACGCCATGTTGTGTCCGTATTTAAAGATTCCAAATCAGGTATTTCATTCTATTCCTCCAAACCTCTTTCCAGCATTTTGTCAAGAATGTAGGTATCTCTCCATATGTGATTGTTGTCACAATTCCAAGTCACAGCGCCCCCATGTGACAGGGGAGAACTGCCCCAGAGGCTTTCTAGGCTGTCATCTATTGTGTCACTATATACTCATATATACTCTTATAGAGCATCCACTCACAGCGCCCCCTGGTGTAACAGAGGAGAACTGCCCCACAGGGTTTCCTAGGCTGTCATCTATTGTGTCACTATATACTCATATATACTCTGATATATCATCCACTCACAGCGCCCCCTGGTGTAACAGAGGAGAACTGCCTCACAAGGTTTTTAGGCTGTCATCTATTGTGTCACTTGTTGTTGTTGTTGTGTGCTGTGGAGTCAGTTCTGACTCATAGCAACCCTGTACAGGGTTTCCGAGTCTGTAAATCTTTACGGGAGCAGAAAGCCTCATCTTTCTCCCGCGGAACAGCTGGTAGTCTCAAATTGCTGACCCTGAGGTTTGCAGCCCGATTCGTAACCACTACGCTACCAGAGCTCCTTTACTGTGACACTATATACTCATACATAATCTTATATATCATCTACTCACAGCGCCCCCTGGTGTGGCATAGGAGAACTCCCCCACAGGGTTTCCTAGGCTGTCATCTATTGTGTCACTATATACTCATATATACTCTTATAGATCATCCACTCACAGAGCCCCCTGGTGTAACAGAGGAGAACTGCCCCACAGGGTTTCCTAGGCTGTCATCTATTGTGTCACTATATACTC